GTATAAGTTACTGTTAACTTAATTATTTATAATGGATTCCCTATCAAAAGAGTCTCAAGGGTGCCCACGGTATAGAATAAGGACCAATCTCTTCCGATTTCTTTTTTTTTTTGGGGGGGGGGGGGGTGCAGAGTTTCCCATCTCCGTTCATCCGCAAGATCGTTCATTTATGCAGGATGCATCAAATACCCAACCTGAATGATAAATCCGTTACAGGAGAGCATGATATAAATTGTATCCCCTCTAGTATAATTCGTTAACTGAAGGTTTATTAAGCTCCTTTTATACTAAATTTTCCGAAACTACAAACACCTTGTATATTTCTTGTGACAGTCAAAACATATTCCTCTTCAGTGTGCCATCACATTCTATCTATTTTATTTTTATTCAATGATCATTTCATATCTATTTTTATCAACAAAATAGATTTAAGAAATTGATACGATTATTAACTCAGGCCAAATAAAAAAAGATGCCAGTTTCCTATTACCCTACCCTCCCTATTTTTTTAGCTAAAAAAAAGCCTACCCTAAAGTTTTTTTGTCATTTTTCAATAAGCACTGTTAAAGTCAGAATGTCCCTCCCATAGACTCAATGTAAAAAAAATATGGTAAAATAGAAAAAAATCCCTACCTACCCTATTTTTTTCATAGATGTAATAGGAAACACACATATTATTTTTTTTGGCCTTATTCATATAAACTGTTTTGAAGTCGTGTTTCTGATCTCACTGGAAAAGCCTCTGTCCACTTATCGAAAGCACAAACCACTATAAGGATATAGCGATGACCTAATTTTGTTTCTTTAAAAGGACCTATGAGATCAATGTGCCATCTTGCGATAGTGTCTGTAATAGTCATTAGAGTTAAAAGAACTCTTTTTGCATGAGCATGTGGTTTTGCCCTCTGACAAGAATCACAACCTCTAAAATTTGCCACTGCCTGATACATTCCAGGAAAGAAGTACTTTTGCTTGATAGCCAGATAAGTTCTGTCAAAGCAAATGTGCCCTATTTTATGGTAAGATTTGAGAAGATCATTTCTAAATTGACGAGGACAGGCTAGTTGTTTTTATACGCCCGTTTACGGGACGTATTATGGTATACCGTCCGTCTGTCCGTCCGTCCGTCGTCAACATGTCGGATAATAACTCAAAAGCGCTTAATCCAATTTGCAGGAAACTTTGGTGAATTGTTTATATCTATTGACATGAGCTCCCTTTCGATTTTTATAAATTTTAGATTTGCGTTTCCGAGTAATGGGGTTTTATTGTCGAGCCTGCGACTTTTGTCGCAGAAAGCTCGACATAGGGATAGTGATCCGGCGGCGGCGGCTACGGCGGCGGCGGCGGCGGCGTTAGCTAACTTCTTAAAAGCTTAGAAGGTGGAAGACCTGGATGCTTCATACTTTGTATATGGATGCCTCATGTTACGAAGTTTCCGTCAGTCACATGTTCAATGTCCTTGACCTCATTTTCATGGTTCAGTGACTACTTGAAAAAAAAGTTAACATTTTTTGTAATGTTAAATTCTCTCTTATTATAAGTAGTAGGATAACTATATTTGGTATGTGCGTACCTTGCAAGGTCCTCGTGCCCGTCAGACAGTTTTCACTTGACCTCGACCTCATTTCATGGATCAGTGAACAAGGTTAAGTTTTGGTGGTCAAGTCCATATCTCAGATACTATAAGCAATAGGTCTAGTATATTCGGTGTATGGAAGGACTGTAAGGTGTACATGTCCAACTGGCAGGTGTCATCTGACCTTGACCTCATTTTCATGGTTCAGTGGTTATAGTTAAGTTTTTGTGTTTTGGTGTGTTTTTCTTATACTGTATGCAATAGGTCTACTATATTTGGTGTATGGAATGATTGTAAGGTGTACATGTCTAGCTGGCAGGTGTCATTTGACCTTGACCTCATTTTCATGGTTCAGTGGTCAAAGTTAAGATTTTGAGTTTTGGTCTTTTTTTCTAATACTATATGCAATAGGTCAACTATATTTGGTGTATGGAAATATTTTATGATCTATATGTCAGTCGCGCAGGTTTTATTTGACCTTGACCTCATTTTCACAGTTCATTGCTCAGTGTTAAGTTTTTGTGTTTTGGTCTGTTTTTCTTAAACTATAAGCAACAGGGCAACTATATTTGTTGTATGGAAGAATTGTTAGCTGTACATGCCTGCCTGGCATGGTTCATCTGACCTTGACCTCATTTTCATGGTTCATTGGTCAATGTTTAGTTTTCTTGGTTAATGTTAAGTTTATGTGACAGTTGTAATAAAGCTTTATATTTAGGACTATCAACATAATATCAATGATTAGTAAAGGAGGCGAGACATTTCAGCGTGTGCACTCTTGTTCATTAAAAAAGGGGGATTTTTCAGTTTTCGGACAATAACTCAAAAACACTTTTACCAATTTGCAAGAAACTTTAATGAATTGTTTATATCTATTGATGTGATCTCCCTTTCGATTTTTATGAATTTTAGGTTTTACGTTTCCGAGTTATGTTTTTTTTTTTATTAAAAAGGGGGGATTTTCCAGTTTTCGGACAATAACTCAAAAAAGCTTTGAGCAGTTTACATGAAACTTTGGTGAATTGTTTATATCTATTGACATAAGCTCCCTTAAGATTTTTAAAAATTTTAGATTTTAAGTTTCCGAGTTATGGGATTTTATTCATAAAAAGGGGTGATTTTCCAGTTTTCGGACAATATCTCAAAAGTGCTTTAAGCAGTTTTCATGAAACTTTGGTGACTGGTTTATATCTATTAAAACAACCTCTCTTTAGTTTTTTTTTTTTTTTTTTTTTTTATAAATTTCTGATATGACAGTGAGGAGTTATTGAACTTTATTCTTTGAAAAAGCGACGGGCGTATCATGCGCTCATGGCGCAGCTGTTTATTTGAATAGAACTTTATTTCTACCTCTTGTTCTTGGTTGGTAAAAATGGTACAGAATACCATCCAACAAGACATACTGGCTTGCTTCTAAAAACACTTTCTTTGCAAGTTTGTTTCATCAGGAATTGTGCCATTTTCAAGATATGCATAGACATGTTTAATATCATAACATTCTTTTTGCAAAGGACCTAAGTTTTCTGGCACATTGTCAGTGTGTATTTCTTGTACCTGTGTTGCATCAGAATTTTGTTTCACGTGGTCATCTGAATTCTCAGAAAAAAAAACTGCCATAACAGATGGAATTGAAGAATTTGTAGGAGTGTAAATAAAAGTAACATGCAAAGGATCAGAATCTTCCTGTGGACTGATATAATTTAGATTTACAAAAGGAATGACATCTTCAGGTTCAGAGGAATGAGTAACAGAGAAGTCTCTTCTTGAGAGGCAATCTGCGTTCCCATTTTTCTTCCCTTGACGAAAACAAATGTCGAAACTGTATCCCTGTAAAAGTACGGACCACCTTGCTAAATGACATGTACACTGTTTAATGTTAGTCAACCATTTAAGAGCCTGATGATCAGTGTAAACCTTAAAATGACTTTTTGCTAAATACACGATAGGTTTTGATCCCTTATAAAACTGCAAGGCATTCCAATTCACTGACACCCCATTCTCTTTTGGCTTGTGTCAAAGACCGACCTCCATAAGCAATTACTTTTTCCTGACCATTGGAATCAAACTGACCTAAAATGTACCCAATAGCTGTGCCGCTGGCATCTTTAGTAAGAATGAAAGGTTTTTACATATTAGGATAAGCAAGAATAAGTGTGGAGCAAAGAGCCGTTTTGGGCTGGTCAAATGCATTTTGGCACTTGTCTGACCATTCAAACGTAACATATCCGAGAAGGTGGTTGAGAGGTGTAGCTATATGACTGTAGTCTTCAATGAAGTTTCTGTAGTAATCTGTCAAGCCAAGAAAAGATCGAATTTGTTTTTCTACCCTTTTCAACGTACAAGTGTAATTTTTTATTTTTTTGTTATTTAGTAAGTTTACTTTTGAATTTAGCTTCTCAAATGTGATATTATTGTACATAGGATATTTTAGTTATGCATTTGTTTTGTTTTTTTCAAAACTGTAAATCATAAGTCATGATATATTCATGATCTTTTTGTTACTTTATTGTAAAAATAGAAAGTTTTATCAAATAAAAATAAATTGGTTTCCTGGTGTTTGTTTTAATTTTGCACATTAGGTGACGCTTCGTAGCAGAATGTATGAAGATTCTACCGTTACTCGGTGATTTTATGGCACTTCACACCTAGGTTATAGAATTGGGTCTGTACTCTCCAGTGGTTGAATGCTAATGAACTTGTTCTGGTGAAAATTGCATATTCAAGCAAATTATCAACTGTTGCACAGACCATTTTGGTGACACAAACCGATTTCTACAGTAGAAAAGGGACAGAGACTAAATTTTTGGTGAAATACATTTTGCCTGAGCATGCATATGATAATACATAAAAGAAAATTATCGTAACTGTATGAATGAAAACTTGTTTAGAAAAGAGAACCACGATGTAATAGTTTAGATTAGGTTCAATTAGGCAAAACTGCTAAGCAACAAACATGCATGGCAAAAACTAAATACTGGAGCAATCAGGATAAAAGTGCCACTAATTACACATTTATTTCCCAAAAACCAAACGAAAAGATATTTTTTTCAAAGCATTTATGTAACTCCCTCTAGTTTTAAGGCAGACGATAAAAATATTAATAGACAACAAATGGGTGGATTGACGACAGACGGCAAGCGATGCATTAGCTTAAATAACAACAATCATTTGATACAGAGGAACTAAAAACGTACTGATATACCCTCTAATTTTGCTTTTTCAATTGTTTTCGTTGTGTAGAAGATTTTAACATTCAATATAAAAATGTCCTTTAAAAAGTATAGGACTAACGTATTTTGATTCATAAAAGTAAACACATTTCAACAAAGGAGATTAGGTCATATTGACGTATTTTAAACACTAGAAATATATAAATCAGTCATGCTTATGCTATCATATTTCATTTAAGGTCTTTCAACTGTTAAAATATCATGCAAAGTATTACGTTTTATTACATCAATGGAAGACAAAAGATACTGATATTTCATGATGACCAGTGCACTATGTAAACAAGTGACGCATTGTTTGACCAGTCATGTTTACTAACAATAAACTACGACTTTAAATATTTTAAATAAAGGAAATATAAATAATCATGATAATAATTGAAGTACGATCGCAGTGATTAAAAAATGGGACGGACCGTATTTAACGATAAATCTACTTATTTTTTATTATCTTCAGCTTCAGGGAATGTGTAACGGTCCAACCAGAAACTTGATACAAATTGTGGATATAAAAACTGCCAAAGCTCAGTTATCTACAGTAAGACTGACCAAATACTGACAATGATTATTCCGAGACTAGTATTAGTGCTGGTATCTTTATCATACTACATAGCAGGTATGTATTTTAAAGTACTTGTGTTTCATTTTACTGGATTCAATACCATTATCTTACTCTTCTGGTGTTCATTCTATTTTTAATTTATTTATTCAAATGCACATTTATACCTCCAATGGGGTTGATGGCATGCATGAAATTAACAAATAAAACAATAAATAAAACAGCACAAGAATAGTAAAGTACAAGACATAATATGTTCAACGAAGAAAGAGGTGGAGATATGTAATTATTTATGATAACATCGACCTTCGGGGATTGTGTTAATATATACAGAGACAGGTCGTATTAACACCTTACAGGTCATATATATAATCTGTCTCTTAACATTGAATGCAACGGTGTCATATCAAAATCTTTTTCAAACCAGGAAGTTTAATATGTTGTTAGGAGAATATAAGGTTTTTATGTTGCATTTTAAAAGAATTGTGCAGAATTATGTCAGTGCTATAACTTTTAACTATCATTTAACTTTTTTAAATTTTGTGAACCGTTAATTGTGTATTATGGTTAAGAGACTGAAATATAATGAGAACACATAAGTATTTTAAAACTGAATGAGGTTCATGCGTTCCTTGGGGTCGGGAGGGTGGTAACAGGCTTGATTTTGGAGTAAAAGTGTGTCACTGGATTGTAAAAATTGTATCCAAATTAATATGTATTCAATAACATAAAATTTAAATACATTTTAGCTTTATTGTACTTAATAATTCCCAAAATGACAATGAACGAATTGTTAAAGATCATGTTTTAAATTTCCAAAATACAGACCCTTTTTCATATAAGAAAAGTTAATAAACACATTAATTTCGTGCTTTTTTGGATTTACCTTCATAAGGAACCCTCATACCTAAACATTATAAAGCAAGGGAATCCTTAATACGCTGCAAAGGTACATCCCACGATCCCTGTATGGATAGGGTACCACAAGACATTGTATATTTCAACAATCAAAGTTCATTTGTAGATCGGAAAGAAAAAAAGTAAAGACTAGACTGCAGTGAAAAAAGAATCACTTATATATACCAACTTTTTTGCTTTTTGACAAGACATATTTGTTTTTATGTGAACGTTTATCAAATACCAAGTATTATGGTAACGCAATTATATGATTTAATGTTTTGAGACGGTCCCTGTACGCGTTGTATAGCATTTAATACAACCTGGGACATAATATAGTGTTAGTATACAAGTGTGGACACAGATCAGTGTGGAGAGTATGTTTGGATGTTTGACTGTTTTCTGAAAAAAGCGTTCTCTTGTGTTGTTTTTTTTCATAGGGTTCTATGTTCTTGACTCGTCAGCAGGCAGTACAGATGTTTTAAAAAAGTGTTACAAAATCACCTAGCATCATATTGGTAGTAGCACGAGTAGCATTGTTTGCTTTTTTTTATTTGGCTTCTGGACAAAAAATGTTTAGTTCAAATGTAAATAAAATGCTTTAATCTCCCCAGTTACTTCTTACATTGAATGGATGCTACTTCAACAATTTCTTGTGCCGACAGTTTTAATCTTACCTTACAGATCATGTGCAGATGTGAGTTGTCTGTCAAATCTTTATTTCACAAGAATGCATTTTCTTAACAATGAACTGAGCTCAAAGCAAAGCATTTTTCTAATACCCTTTGACAAAAAGCTCAATCCAGTGATATACTTTGTAATACAGGCCCTTCATGAACATTCGCCCTTCATAACCACATCTATGATCTAACAAACATGCCAAACTACATGGACCAAAAGTCCTGAAAAAGAACATGTAATTTTTATACGACCGCAAAAATTAAAAATTTTTTGGTCGTATATTGGTATGACGTCGACGTCGGCGTCGTCGTCGTCGTCGTTGTCGTCGTCATCGTTGTCGTCGTCGTCTCCGGCGTCGTCCTGCGTCGTCCGAAGACACATTGGTTTTCGTACTCTAACTTTAGTTTAAGTTTAAATGAAATTTTACCATAAGGTTCAATACCACGAAAGGAAGGTTGGGATTGATTTTGGGGGTTATGGTACCAACAGTTAAGGAATTAGGGGCCAAAAAGGGGCCAAAAATAAGCATTTTTGTAACTTCCAGACAATAACCACAAGGTTCCATATCACAAAGGGAAGGCTGTAATTGATTTTGGGGGTAATTGCCTCAAAATTTTAGGAATTAGGGGCCAAAAAAGGGGCAAAAAACAAGCATTTTTCTAGTTTCATGACAATAACTTGTGTGTAAGTGTTTGGATATTTCTGAAATTGTACTACAAGGTTCCATATCACAAAGGGAAAGCTGGAATTGAGTTTGGAGGTAATTGCCCTAAACGTTTAGGAATTGGGGGCCAAAAAGGGGCCAAAAATAAGCATTTTTCTAGTTTCCAGACAATAACTTGTGTTCAAGTGTATGGATCTCTCTGAAATTGTACTGCAAGGTACCATACCACAAAGGGAAGGCTGGGATTGAGTTTGGGGGTGATGAATCATAAGGGGGTTCAAAAAATTTGGGGGGGGGGATTTTTTTAAAAAAATTTTTTACTTTTTTTCCTTTTTTTTTTCTTTTAAAATTTTCCATTTTAAGTTGGTTATTTCTGATTTATATTTAAAAGCAAATAATAATGATATGGTAGGAGATACACACCAAACAGGATGTGTAAATTATTATATAATAAGTATTGTGCAATAGCAAGAAATTTTCAATTGCATGTAGTATTGCACAATAGCAAGAAATCTTCAATTGCACAGTATTGCGCAATAGCAAGAAATCTTCAATTGCACAATATTGCGCAATAGCAAGAAATTGTCAATTGTACAGTATTGCGCAATAGCAAGAAATATTCAATTGCACAGTATTGTGCAAAAGAAGATACTTCGTATAAATTGCTTATTTCTTGATCAATTTCAATGGGGTTTTATTCTTGAATTCTTGGGGTTCTTTAATATGCTGAATCTAACCGTGTATTAAGTTTTTGGATTTTGGGCCCCGTTTTTAAATTGGTCCACATTGAGGTCCAAAGGGTCCAAAATTTAACTTTGTTTGATTTCATCAAAAATTGAATTATTGGGGTTCTTTGATATGCCGAATCTAACCGTGTATTTAGATTCTTAATTTTTGGTTCCGTTTTCAAATTGGTCTACATTAAGGTCCAAAGGGTCCAAAATTAAACTTTTAAAAATTGAATTTTAGGGTTCTTTGATATGCTGAATCTAAACATGTATTTAGATTTTTGATTATGGGCCCAGTTTTCAAGTTGGTCCAAATCGGGGTCCAAAATTAAACTTTGTTTGATTTCAACAAAAATTGAATATATGGGGTTCTTTGATATGCTGAATCTAACCATGTATTTAGATTTTTGATTTTTGGGCCCCGTTATCAACTTTGTCCACATTGAGGTCAAAAGGGTCTAAAATAAAACTTTGTTTGATTTCATCATAAATTGAATTCTTGGGGTTCTTTGATATGCTGAATCTAACCATGTATTTAGATTTTGGATATTGGACCATAATAGGTGAATGTCCAATTTAAAATTTTTAAGTTCTTAGACCACATTCATTCTGTGTCAGAAACCTTTGCTGTGTCAAATATTTAATCACAATCCAAATTCAGAGCTGTATCAAGCTTGAATGTTGTGTCCATACTTGCCCCAACTGTTCAGGGTTCGACCTCTGCGGTCGTATCAAGCTGCGCCCTGCGGAGCATTTTATTTATATTTTATGTACGTACCCTGGTTAAAACTTCAAACAAAGTTGTGGTAAAAACATTCGGTTCCTAGCAAGTAGTTGTCACTTCATGCACAAATCAATATATGCTAAGTGCCCCTCTTTTTGAAATAAGAACATACTTCCACCTAATCATAGTAAATAGGTGAACAAACATTCAAAACTATAAAATGTTATCAGACTTATCAGTGTCTATTTACCGTCACAACTGAATCAATATATAAACATATGTAAGACTCAGATTGACGTCCAGTCTCTAATCGACCTCCATTCCTCAAGTCGACGTCCAAATCTGACGTCATAATAGAATAAGATTCCAAATCTACATGTATAATCAATTATATACCCCTGTAATAGACGTCTTTTTTTGTTTTTCTCAAGTCAATGTCCCAATAGTATTGGCTTCTCTAATTTATGTCCTTTTAACAGACTAGACGCAATGAAATCACAGTTTTATAAAATGGTAGGTTGAACCTAATGCAAAAAAAGTCGTGAAAGATATAATAATTTAAATCTTGCAAATACATGTAATACTAGTAATACATTTCAACAATTGGCTGTACTTTTTTTATTTTGTCTATTGTTTGAGACTGTATATTGACCTCTAGATGTCTTTCAATTATCTTTGGCATTGGGTTGTTGTCTTGTTGTTGTATATATCCATGTGGCATTTATTTATATGAATATGAAAGGAATATGACCACGTAGATCAAGAGGATGAACTTCTTTCACCAAAATATTAATATGCATGTACATGTAAGATGATGTCGATGGTTGTCTTCTTGTCATTTTATGATGTTTGACCTTTTATGGGGGCGGGTCCCTTAATATCATGCAAATGCTCATCTAACTGCATTATACTACAAACCACATATCAATGACTTCCCATAAGTGGTTCCCGTTAAACTAACCTATATGTAATTATTAATGATTGATTGGTGTTTTAATGCCACTTTCAACACAGTTGCTGCTGCACTATTGGCCATTTTGTAGTGGTACGGTTTTATAGGTGGAGGAAGCCGGAGTGGCCGGAGAGAACGACTAACCGTCGGTAGGAAGACTGACAATCCTAGTCAATCAAGATTATATTGGAATCAAAAATTGTTATTATAATCTTTAATAAATTGTTAACGTCATTGGCTATGCCAAAAACAGCTTACATTTTTTTTGTACCTTAACTTAGCTTTGGCGACTTTGTTGCAGCAAGACAAAACAAAATGGAAAAGGGTTCCTTACCTACAATTGCAGCTGTCAGTGTTAATGTGAAATGGTGACCACCAAAAAATAAGTCCATTTATTGTCGAGCCTGCGAA